CAGCAGGAAGTGATTTTTATCTTTTTCATGCCACACACGGCCTTGTCTATACACAAACCCAGCTATGCAATGTGTAACATATGTACACATAGAATATATATATATATTCCCAGCCTAACTAAGAAAGTCTTACAAAATAGCACATACTCTACTTCCCTACTATTAAAAAATAGCCCTAGGACTGACATCATGTGGTACTTGTTAGAAATGGAGAATCTCGGAAACCACCTACACCAACTGAATCAGATTTACATTTTACAAGATCTCCATGTGATCTGCATCACACTCCAGTTTGAGAAGCACTATTGGATGAGTAAATAAGTAGCTCTCTAGAACAGAAAGTAACTTGAGGTAGGAAAAATGATTTATTAGGACTATTCCTTATTCCTTACACTCTGATGGAAAGGAAATCTCTTTTCTCAGCAAGAGAAAAAGATTGAGTTAGCATGTTGTATCCCTCTTTCTAACCTTCTCAAGGCATAATGGGTCACTTTTCTCATTGATAATGTATAAAAGAGCCTAGTGGCTACCGGGCCGTTTTTACCAGAAAATAGTGCATGCAAAATGCAGGGATGGAAGTACAGGTATGTAAATTCCTTTCTCCTTTCCTTCTTCCTTTCTCTCTGTCATCTAGCTCTCCTTATTTGGTATACAATTAGCATATTGTTAAATAAATGGTCAAATAATTTAGTTAGTGTGATGTTAAAAGAAAGTGCAAGGTTAAAAATTGTGAAACTGGATTATGAATTAACATAACTGAATTTTGGGACAGGAAATGGCTTAATGGTTACGTTGCTGGACTTTCACATAGTCGACTATGGTTCGAGACCCAGTCCTGGCAGATTAAACTCACACTGGGGGCATGTGCATGTGTGCCCAAGATGCTGAGAGGAGAATGGAGGAGAAAGGATTGTGGCATAACCATATCCTTTGGGGGGGGGGTGATTTCTCACTTTATGTCTCTGTTTCTGTTTTCCCAGCAAGCACACATGCCCTATAGCAAAAACTTCTCCAAAACAAACAAACAAAAAACCTGAATTGTCACAAGAAAACTCAAAAGAGGTCACTGATTTTATAATGTTTTGCCTTTAATTCTATCTAATTCATATATGCCTATAGATATAGATATTTATTTTTTAGATTTTTGCCATAGGGTCTCTGTGCTCAGCAGAGAGAGACAGAGAGAGGGAAATTGAGAATTCCCCCCCAACCCCGTGGGTAATGGCCACAACACAATCCCTTCTACTCTATTCTCCTCTTGGGAATTTAGGTATGCATGTACACGTGCCTGGTGAAATTTTCTAGAACTTGAATCGCAGTTAGCCATATGAGAGTTGAGTGACTTAACTACCACACCACTTATTGGCCCCTGGATTCATACTTGAACCTTCCACATTAAGATATTTCAGAGCAGTTGATATAGTAGTTATGTGGGAAGGTGAAATATTTGAGAAATTCTCCAAAATTTTCAAGTCTTAATTCCAGAAGATGTGAGATTAGGCAAGTAGAGTACCCCCTTATAATAACAGTCCAGTTAGGGACCAACAGTTAGTGTAATGGCTATGTAGCTGAACTCCCATGTAATTGATCGCAGTTCGAGTCCTGGACCTGGTGGCTTAAACTAACGCTGGGCATGTGTGCGTGCCCAAGATCCTGAGAGGAGAATGGAGGAGAAGGGATTATGGCATGGCCATCCCCCCTGGGGAGTGATTTCTTGCTTTCTGTCTTTCTGTCTCTCCAGCGAGTGCACGTGCCCTATAGCAAAATAAATAAATAAATAACAGCCCAATTATTTGCGTTTTTTTAAAAGATTAATAAATAGATATTGCAGTAGAAAATAATCAATTTAACATATTAAAAGTTATACTAAATAGGGACCAGCAGATGGTGTAATGGTTAAATCACAGGACTCCCACGTAGTTGACCACGGTTTGAATCCTGGATCTGGCAGCTTCAAACTCACACTGGGCATGTCTGTGAGTGGGTACCCTAGATCCCACAGAGAAAAATGGAGGAGAAGGGATTGCAGTGTGGCCATCACCTCTGGGGGATGATTTCTTGCTTTCTGACTCTCTTTGTCTTTTAGGCGAGCATACACACCCTATAGCAAAAAATCTCTCTTAAAAAAAATTATACTAAATAATCAAAATTCTCCAGTTTAAGAAAAAAAAAACTATTAAACAAATAGTTGTTTCAAAAATGCCAAAGAGCAAGCACAATTTTATTCAGGGTGTATGTATTTTCTTGCTGTGACTGCTTATTTATTTGCTCCTGAGATAGTTATTTTAGCACAGCTTAGATGCTTGCTGTTGATGTAGAAAATTCAGATGTTTCTAAACTCACATTGTTTTTTTATAACTAGCATTTATATTAGAAATGGGTTTTATTGCTTTATTTTTATTACATAAAATTGCAACAAATATTCTATAATTGAGTCTTTATCATCCTGACTTAAATTACACAATTGTTTTGTCCAAAGAAAATGTAAATGAAGAATATGGGAAGGGCTAGGCCTGAGGAATATACATAAGTATGGGCTTGAGATAGGGTCAATCTCACTCAAATATCAAGTACTGAGTGTGAAGTAGGAGCAACGGCTCCGAAGAAAAACAGGTGCTGGGGCCAGCAGGTGGTGTAGTGTACTGGGACCTTTTTACCAAAAAATAGTGCCTGCAAAATGCAGGGATGAAAGTACAGATATGTAAATTCTTTTTTCTTCTCCTAGACTCCCACATGGCCAATTGTGGATTAAGTCCCAGATATGGTGGCTCAAAACACATGCCAGGTACGTGCAAATATGTGCTAGAAATCCCAAGATGAGAAATCCCGTGGGGGAGAAGGAACTATGGCAAGGCTATCTCCCCGGGAGATAATTTCTCACTTTTTGTCTCTCCATCTCTCTGTCTCTCCATTGAACACATGCACCCTATAGCAAAAACATCTCCAAAAAATGAAATTTAAAAAAGTAAACAACTGAATTTAAACAAGAAAACTCAATAGAGGTCACCAATTATATAATGTTTTACCTTTAATTCTGTCTGATTCATATATATATATACATACATATCTATATCTATGTCTATAGACATACGTTTTTTAGCTTTTGGTTATTAGAATCCCTGAGCTCAGCAGAGAGACAGAGAGAGGGAAAATGAGAAATCACCCCTCACCCCCAGGAGTAATGGCCACAAAACAATTCCTTCTACTTCATTATCCTATTTGGATTTTAGGCACACATGTACATGTGCCTGGGTGTAATTTTCTAGAACTCAAACTGCAGGCACTAGATTCCGACATGGCAAATCATGGTTTAAGTCCCAGATCTGGTGGCTTGAAACATGCCAGACACATGTGAATGTGTGCCAAAAATCCCAAGAAGAGGATGGAGGAGAAAAGATTATGGTGTGGCTATCCACTGTGGGAGATGATTTCTCAGTTTTTCTCTCTCCATCTCTCTCCATCTTTCCAATGAGTGCACACAAATATCTCTTAAAAAAAAAAAAAAAGAAAAGAAAAGTAAAAGAGGCACCAAATGTTGTAAAGTTGAATCAGAAAGGATAAAAAACTATATATGTCTACTATAAATATTTATGTATGCCTGTGATGTGTCAGGCTAAATACCTATATTAGGTGCAATTCTATTACCCATTCATAGAGTTTTGTTCAACTTATAGCCATAAGAGGGCTGATTAAATGGTAACAGAATGCACCACATTCTTTTTGGTTGGTCAAAAATAAATACAGGCCAGCAAATAGTGTGGCGGTTAAGACCTGGACTATCACACGGCTGACTGCAGTTCACGTATCGGATCCAACAGCTTAAAACTCATGCTGGGCACATGGGTGAGCATGTCCAAAATCCCAAGAGAGGAATGGAAGAGAAAGGACTGCAGCATTGCCATTCCCTGGTAGATGATTTCTCGTTTTACCTCTCACTGTCTCTCTCCAGCAAGCACATGCACCCTATGGCAAAACCCAAAATAAGTGAATAAATAGTGTAAGTGAATATTTTACATCATAAGTATTGCCATAACTCTGTATAGTCTATGTTCAAATAATCAGTTATATGAACACAATTAAGTACCTTCAAGTGGAGGTAAATTTTGAAGAAATATTTTAAGATAAAAATTAGAATCCTGCACTGTTGGCATCGTAGAGATATAAACTCTTTACCCACTCTTGCCCCTTTGGCTGTGTCATGGAAAGAGGAAAGTCATTGCAACACTCCAATTTTTCTTTCTCTTTATTTGATCATTTCCTTCACAGGAACCTTATTGAGGTCATTTTAAGCTTAAAATAACCACTATGGGCAAATATTATAGTGATTATTTTTACTCAGGATATGATTCTAAAGTAAATCTTATAGATTTCTGAATCCAGTTTTGTCGAGAATGACCTATTAATTCACATAATAGAATAAAATATCCAGCCTTTATGTGACATATTTAAGGGAAGTCATATTACCCATGTATAGCATTCTTTTAACACATTGTTTGGAGACAAAGACCTAAAGCAATTCCAGAAGAATACTAAAAGTTACCAAAATAAGATTTTATTTTCCTGCTTACTGAAAAAAAACAAAGAAGAAGAAGAAGAAAGATAAAGGAAGGAAATCAGAGAAGAGCTGAGGGTCATTATCTGTATACAGTTGTCCAGGGAACAGACATGCATTCATTTTTCTTTGTTTAAGCTTATCAACAGTTGGATCACTACAGCAGTTGTAAATGATGTATGCAATGAGACACATTCCTGTGTAACACAGACTATCAACTGTGCTAGCAATTACGGAACTACGGTACTATTTTTAGTGGTATAGTTACACAGGAACTACATTATTATTATCTGAAATATCATTAAATATAAACCAAGATTCTCTCACAATAGAGTGCTTATGAAGTTAGGCCTAATAGAAAAGTAGTGTGAAATTTTTTGTTTGTTTGTTTGGCACCCATGTCTACAATTGCACACTGAAGTGGATGAAGTGAATGAACAGAGAACATACATGATTTTAGTTTTAGTGCGTTGCTCTGCAGGGGCTCTCAGTGGTCCCAGGCTAGGTAAGCTAAGTGACAGTCTGCAATCATCTTTCCAGGATCCCCTCTTTCTATTATATCTGGAAAAAGCGATATGCTGTCTCTATTTCCCAACCAGGCATTTGCTAAACTACTCCTCTCCCCACATCCCTCTCCTGGGCACTGGGATAATTTTCTGCACCTCCAAATACAATGCTTATTTAATTCCCTAAAACAACACCAAGCAAATGGGTGTGTATGTTGCAAACATTGTAAGAGAAGTTTGGACAAAGAAGCAGGTAGTTTTCAGAGCATTACAGCCTCTCCCTCTGAATTTTTAGGTAGAAAACTCCCTTTTGCCCTTGACCCCTTTACTCTTTACAAGAATTCTCTCCCTCAAACCCAGATCACTGGTTAATTAGTGCGCTCTGAAAATGAAGTTATCATTTTTTTAGTCCTAGTCCCTGAGGTTACAGGCTCGTTAAGGTATTTTTCCCTAAAATATGGTTACGCAGATGCATGAGACTACAATACACACAGATAGAAAGCAATATTGAACAAGAAACACACACAAACATTGGTATACAGAGGAATTTACAGATATGTTTGACATACATGCATAAATACACATACACAAATACTCAACATATGAATAATAGATAAGACTAGTATAGGTTGTTATTCCTTTTTTTAAAAAAGAAAGTTTATTTTTGGTTTTGTTCAGAGTTTTGTTTGTTTGTTTGTTTGTTTTGGTTTTGCCTTAGGGTGCATTTGTTCACCAGAGAGAGAGAGAGAGAGAGATGGGAACAGAAACAGTAAGAGGGAAAGTGAGAAATCACCTCCGGGGGATATGGCCATGCCACAGTTCCTTTCTCCTCCATTCTCCTCCCAGGATCTTGGTCATGCACACACACACACTCCCATCATGAGTTTCAAGCCACCAGAACCAGGACTTAAACCACAGTTGTCATGTGGAATTCCAGCAACACAAACACTATCTCATCTGCTGGCCCCAAAAGTTTGTTTGTTTTTTTTGTTTGTTTTTGTTTTTGGGTTTTTTTTTTTTTTTTTTTTTGAGAGAATGTGAAAGAAAGCACCCATAACAAAGCCTTAGACCATCATCCTTTTCCCCTACCCATTTCCCACCTAGCATTAAGGGCACATGGTGAACACATGGCATGTATAAGTTATCCCAGGAATCAAACCCTTATCTTACACATGGCTTCCCGTATTGCAATGTTGCATTACTGCTGTGCCACTGTTGCTGGGCCCAATCAATTCTTTTCTTAAAGTCAGTCCTCTTGAGATATAACGGTTTATTATAATCTAGAAATTTAAAAACCTGAATATTTAATATTGGAGACACATGCAATGTAATAGTTACTATGGAGCATTTAAGCCCTGTGCATCTAGAGCCAGATCCCCCATGGCTAGCCACAGATGAAATCCTGGCCTCTGTGGCTTGAAACACATGCCAGATATGGGTGCATACATGCTCAAAATCCTGATAGGATGGGAAAATTGAGAATAAAGGAATGAATTGTGACATGTGAATGAATGCTCCACTGAAGGGTGCTTTATCTCTTATCTTCTCTCTCTCACTCTGGCAAGGGTATGAGCCCTTTGGCAATTAAAAACAAAATGTAATTACCAAATGAACAGAAATGAGAAGACACTTCAAGTGAAGTTTATTTTACTTCTACTGAAGTAAAGTCACCAGATGGTTTTACACACACTCACAGACACACACACACACACACACACACACACAAGTGCCAGGGCAGCAGCCTATGCAATTCTGGTAACTACTGTTTATGAGTGCCAATTGTGCATTTCCATGGTAAGCATGCTAGAATTTTAATACCATAACTAGCCATAATCTTCTCTTGACTCCTTTTGATGACTTGGTAGTGCCATTTTTATTCTGGCCTCTGAAAGATATCATTACTCTGTGAATAGAAAAAAAAAAAGAAAAAGAAAAAAACAACAACACTGTAAGAGGTTTGTCAAATGTTCACAAGAATATGAATAAAGTTATCTGCTTCCCTTTTTCGGTTATAGCTCTTGCCTGTCAAATCTCAAAAAAATCAAGGGGCCAGCAGATGACATAATGGTTACGTTGATGGACTCCCATGTACTCAACCACAGTTCGAGTCCCGGACTCATTGACTTAGAACTCACTCAGGGCACATGTGTGTATGTGTCCAAAATCCTGAGAGGATAATGGAGGAGAAGGGATTGTGGTGTGGTCGTCCCCCCTTGGGGGTAATTTCTTGCTATCTTTTTGTCTTTCCAGTGAGCGCATGTGCTCTATAGCAAAAACTCTTTCAAAAGTAAAGAAAATCTAACTAAACTGTCTGTACCCAGTTTCCTTCTAGTCTATAAAGCAAAAAATGTACATATTGCTTATGATTTTTCTTTCCTAGAAATTCTCATTATTATATGAAAACTTATAATTAGCCGTGTCTCAAATTTAATATCACAGACTGATCAAACTGAAAAAAAAAAAAAAAAAAACTTCACTCACATAAATATCCCATCAAGGAGTCAATGTATATAGCATTCTTCCTATGACAATAGTAGGTAGATCAAGGAAGAAGGTGTCAATTTTTTGTTTTATACTATTGAATCATCACAAAGCTCAATGACAGCTATGTGGATTTAGACTTGGTCAACATTACTCTTTTACTGGGAATGCCACTTTGTGCAAAGAGAGAGGAATCAAGTCTGATTCAAGCATATTCTTTTT